GCTATACACAAAAAATAGTATCATAATTTATTATATTCATTTTAATTAATTATGGGATACCCATTTCCGGGTGAAGGCCTCCGGGTGAAGGAAAATATATGATAATAGTTTAATTTTATCCTTATTTTTAGACATGTAGAGTCCTAAATTTTAGTGTATTAAATCAAAAGAATATTTTCGTTCGACTAAAATTGTTTTCTAATAGCGACGTCTCCTTTATTCTATAGGTAAAATCATTTTTTAGAATATATTTTATAGAATATAAATTAATTGACTTTCAAGATAGTAGGTAATATATACACTAGATGGTCTAAACACGACTAATTTAATATAAATCGGTAAGATATGAAATCGTGGATTGTTAGAAATTGTTTGTTTATGATAGTTTTATTCAAAATAATTAACTTTATTCATTTAAAAGTTATATTAACACAAACGAGACCAAGATAATAGGAAAAACTTGGGTATATCACGCCCTGAGCCGCACGACATGACACCTTGCTTATAGAGACGTTCACTGCTGGTTTTTCTAGGTTCTCAACGGGTGGCTAGACGCGTGGTCGCATGCGCGCGGAGCAGGTGTTGAATTATTTACATTTTCATTATCTCTTAAACTATGCGTCCAAATAACATGCTAAAAAGAGCAAAGTTTATTTTTATAAAATTGTCTTTATGATGAAGTAACTTTCGTTCGTAAGGATTAATATGCCATGCCTAATAATAAACCCCCATAAATCACTTTTTAATTTTCTATATATTTTGTCACAAAATTATTATATTATTGTGGCTTATTTAAAATTATTATATTACTGGGCCTTATTGTGCCTTATGTATAATAAATAGGCCTATGGTAACACAGAATTTTTAAAGACGAGGAAAAGATCTATATTTACTAGAACATAGTATTTATATATCACCAGCCATTAAGCCAGCGCACGCGGATAAAGCAGTTCGGGAGCGCTTATTGTTCCGACTTGCTTTACAAAAACCAATATTTAAGGCTAGCTAAGAGGTGTAGTCTAATGCTTAATAAAAAAAAGTTCCACAGATTAGTGTGTTTAATCAAACAACCTCCTCCGCTTTATTATAAGGTATAGATTCTATCTAATTCTCTCGTTAAGGTGCTAGTCTACGCTGGTATTCTGTGAGATTGTGGTGCTTCCCCGGTCGAGCCGACCCTTTTGTGCTACAACCATAATATAGCTGCAGCGTGGCACTACCACGTATGAAACTTACCATCAGGTGTCTATTCGTTCGTCATTTGAGTTTTACAAAGGAAATGTTGATAAGGTTTCTGCCGGTAATTGGGTAGACCCCTAATTCTAACTTTTTTTGATCAACAATGAAAACGAAGCAAAACAATTAAATTATTTATTTTATTTTTAATTTCTATTATTTTGTTTTGTTTCCGTTTATTTATTTTTAAAATTTTTTAATGTTAGATTGTTTAATTACATAATATAAAGTTTTCATATTTATTACTTTTAAAATTTTTATTATTTTTAGTTGTAAATTATATTTATTATTTCGAAGAAAAAAAATTGTTTCGAAGACATGTGAAGTTCGCCAACAGCCATTGGGGCAGCGCGCCGGACGTTTCCTTGCCCTAAAACCCTTTCAGAAATGAGGAAAGGCCTGTACCCAACAGTGGGACGTATATAGGCTGTAACTTTATATTTATTATTAAGTAATGTCTACAAAATTTTTGTTTTAGCAAACGAGCATGCGGCTCACCTGATGGAAAGTGTCCACCGCCGCCCAAGTGCTTCTGTAACATTGGTGGGATTGCAGTAGCGTTGCTGGTCTTTTAACAAGGAGTAAGCTGGTTTCTTAAAGGTTTTTCTCAGTCGTATTGATCCAAAAAAATCGCCAGTGGTAAACAATTTCAAAAACTAGTCGTGTCAGGAAGAAAACTCCTAGTAAATCGCACAGTAGTGAAGCGACAAGCATCTCGATGATGTGAATGGTAACGTAAGTTTGGTCGCGATGTGCGTTGATGAAATTTGGTGGTTGGAATTATTCGGAATAATTCCTCAGAGCACTCCCTGTAGTAAAACGATAGTAAATGCAAAAGGGTACATCTCGTCGCAGCATCAGTGAGTCTAGCCGATTAGAATGGATGCGATCTTTGAGGATTCGAGCTATTCTGAGATGGATGCGTACAAGTGGTAGGCACTGGGGGGGGGGGGGAGTGGCTCACAGATGGGAAAGGTATTCCATGTGGGGCCGAATTTGCCGCTTGTAAAGTTGCAAGCGGTGTGCCGGCATGAAATACTGTCCCGCTTTGCTGAGCACGCTCAGCTTTATAGAGGCCAATTTAGCCTTCTCTTCCAAGTGACCACGAAACTGCACATCATTCTATCATCGTTGACACGAAACTGCACATGTGTTAACATTATGCAACATTGTGCAACGACAGTAATAACACATGGAGTAGTGGCTGCTCCCGGGGCTGAACACCTTACCAGACGGGAGATTTCCCCTTTTTTTTGCACGGATACCGATACTGGCTGAGGCAACAAAGGAAATGCCTTGAAACTGAGGAGATACGACAAAGGGTTTTTTTCAGTAGTAAACGTGCAAACTTCTGTCTTCCTTGACCTGAAACTGGTCCTTTAACTGGACTAGATTTAGTCGCCCCCAATCTGAGACTTTGTTTAACAAAGACTTCAGACAAAAATTTGTTCCGGTACTCGGCGACGTTTTCCCAAAAAATATTGGCATAGCCGGTGCATAAAGCATCACTAGTGCTGTCGTTTGCATAGCAATGAATTTTACCGATTTGCAACCTATCTTTCATATGTAGAAGAAACAACGTTGGTAATAACAGGGAACCTTGTGGAACACTAATATTAACAGGCAATAACGACCTATTTACGTCCAGGGAGAGCAGTGTTTTACATACCAACTGCTGGGTAAAGGGCACACACATCCTTCATGGAGCAATTATACCGCGTTATGGTCAGCGATGTGTTCCCCCCGCCATTAAGAGTCGAGTTGGACGCAAAGAGAGAGCCTAGCAGATCTGATTTCTCCTTTGCGGGAGATTGCTCCCATGGGCCAATGAGTCGGTCTGTGTCGGCATTAACGTTACGGCACATATAGAGGCACCCGTAGTGCTTTCAATGGTCGTCGCTGTATAAGCGCTGTCATAGGATGGATAGGTCTGTATTTTCAAGACTGCCGAAGCGTCGAAGACAGATGTCCTCTCTGACGTATACGCAAACCCCAGCTCGAGGTAAAAAGGAGTGTCTTAATTTGTACCTGAGGTAGGAGAGATACGAAGTATCAGCCGGAGAGGACACCTGTGTCTTAGTTAGAAAGAGCCGGTTTTGCCATCTCCAGAAGGTAGTGGATGGCGTTAAAGTTCGAATGAAGTCCCTTGATGTTGCAGAAACTCACGGATAGCATGGCAGGGGTCGCCATTGTCTTATTGCTCCATTTGTCCCGAGCAGTATTAGTCGCGAGCGCAATTTGCCCTCAGAATACGCACGGTAGCCTGAGCACCTACGCTCAGGAAGAGGAGAGCAGTTTGGCTAAACCACTGTTAAAATTTGAAATATTATGTAAAAAATTAAAAAGACCCTTTCTATATTTTTTTATTGTTATACGTTTTTTTGCAAAAAGATAACTTTAACAAAATTAAGCGTCAAAAAGTAAGGTCATGTTACCACATCATAATTACGTAAAATGTACATGGAGGAAATACAACCAATTAAAACTTGTACAAGCTCTTCAGTTTGCTTTCATAAGTGGAAAATAATTATCTGTGGCCGTGTAAAATAATTTTCAATTCATCTACTTAGAATAAATATTTGGGGAGATCAGTGGTAGTTCAGTAACTTAGCAAAATTAATTTAAAAGTTGTCATCATCATTAACATAATAAGCTTGTATAGTATAACTAAATCTTTTAAAGCTTCCATTTTGTAAGAATTCACGGGCGATGCCAACTCATGTTACAAGCAACACCAGTTTAAAATAAATATTCAGTCGTCCTGATGCTAAGTGGGTGCTGTGACTTATAGACATCTTCATTTATCCCCAGCTAAGAATGCAGATGCGCTACTACTCCTTAAAGCTGAGATGGAATGTCTCGTTTCCAGTTCTTACTGGAAAGGTCTCCTGTTTTCTACACAGTCCGTACGGAACATTGCATTAAGTTCCTATTTATTGCTATAATTCTGTAAGAGTTTGGTACTAGGCAGTTCGAGCCGACCCATTCGTGCTGCAACCCGCTAATATAGCTGAAGCGTGGCCTACCACGTATAAATGCTGTATTTCAATTATAGGTAACTGGGCCGTTAGTCAAAAGACAGTTTTTAATTATATTAAATAGTTAATAAAAATAACAAATATAATTAAAACAAAAGGTTTTGTTTTAATTATAATTTTTAAGACGCTTCTTTAGTGACGCTTGTATAGTAAATCACGTAGCGTTGCTACGAAGCGTAGCGTTTGCTACGCTCTGTGGATTCATAAAGTTAGATGTACATAGATCAAATTTATATCGCTTCTTTGTAGTATGTAAGTAACGGTTGCTTTTGCTGTATTTTTGATCGGTGGATTTTTTTTTATAAGATAAGGTTTACAAAAGTTTTTCCGTGCGCGAACAACCGCTGAGCAACAACGTTTGTCATTACTCTCCGTGTTTTTCAATAAAATTTATAGTAAAACATTGCAAAGTGCTAAATATATTAGTTTGGTTTTTATGACTGTAAAGTGACCTTCAAAACAAGATATAATTTGTTCAATTCTGGCGTGAAATTGAAGAGAAAACAGCGTATTTATCTATAAAATATTTCGCCGACCCTGACCTACCTCACATAACATCACTTGAATCGTGCAAGTAAACAGGTTTTGTTGCAGCTGCCTACGCGCATTGTATCTACTACGTCATACGGCCTACCAAGGTACTAACGATAATTTATTAAAACGAAAATAAATAATATTTATTTTTGTTTACATTCTAATCGATAATACTTTGGATTTTGCACTACTATGCTGCGTTCACCATCCAAGCCATTCTCATCTAACCCTGATTTGAGCATAGAAAATGATGCACTACAAAATGTGTCACTGCGGAAACAACCTGACTGTGAGTTAACAGAATCTTTTAAGCAATTTACACATATGATGCAAAATATGCTCAAAGATTTGAGAGAAGATTTAAATAATAAAATATCAAGCATTAGTGAGAATATCGATTTAATGCGGTCCGACTTGGATACTCTATCTGTCACCACGAAGGATATAAAGGGTGAACTTGCGTCTCTGCGTCATGACCAGACTAATTTAAAACAGAAATTACACCTAATAGAGAACAAGCATGATAACTTACAAAAAGATGTATTGGAAATCCAGAATGCACTGGACTTTAATTGTGACATGAATGACAAATTGGGACAACGTATTGGTAAGCTAGAGACTGATTGTGTAAAAAATAATAAAACCATCGAAATCATATCTTCTCTTAAGTCGAAGATTGAAGCTTTGGAGCAGCATGCTAGGAGCTGTAACATTGAGATATGTGGTGTCCCAGAAAAAAGGGATGAAAACTTGATGGAACTAGTGGCAAATATTGGTAAACATATTAATCTATCTATTCAGCAGAGAGATATCATTTCTATTCATCGTGTTCCACAAGTGCAAACCCATACAAATCGACCAAAAAATATTATTGTAAAGGTTTCATCACGAATATTAAGAGATAACATACTGAGCACGTTTCGCAAGGCTAAAGGTGTTACAACCAATGATATTGGCATTTCTGGTGTACCCAAGTTGGTTTTTATGAATGAGCATTTAACATTGGAAAAGAAGAAGCTCTTTCGTGACTGCCGTGAAACTGCAAAGAAAGAGAACTACCAATACGTTTGGATTAAGCACGCTACAATACTTGTACGGGAATCAAACAACCATGCGGCTATCGCTATACGAACTCAGGGAGACATCTCTAAGATCAAAGCCGGTTCTAGTAAGAAACTTAGCGATATTTCCAAATAGTTTAGCATCTATTTACTATCCTAAAACAGTGTTTTTTCTTTTTTCTATTTTTGTAGTTATATTTGTTTTTTGTCGTAACTCATTTGCTATTGATATGGTGTATCAATTAGATCTAACAAGATTAAGTGTATGTGCAGTTGTATTGTTAATAAAGTTGTTTCATCGCCTTATTAAAGTTGGGAGTGTATGCAATCATCTATTATGTAAAGTATCATATTGTACGGGGTTCGTATTTATTATATATTTTTTATGCCTAAATGCAACGTTTTCATATCATTGCATGGTAACATTAATTTATTATTCTGACTATAAGAATGGTTAATATAGTGTGTTATTATCAAAACTGCAGAGGTATTCGTACTAAGCTACATACGTTGTATATGAATATTTTATCTCATGCATATGACCTTATTATTCTGACGGAAACTTGGTTAATACCAGAAATTGATAATAGCGAATTCATAGATCAGCGTTATACAGTTTACCGTTGTGATCGCAATCGTAGCGTTACTGGCAAGAGTGACGGGGGTGGTGTTTTGATTGCAGTTCTGAAGGGTTTAAGACCTATGCCTATTATCCCGGGGTATCAGAACACTTTGTTGGATAGCATTGAGAATGTGTGCGTTTGCCTTTCTAGCTCATGTGGCTTTAAGCGTCATATTATTGCTGCAGTCTATATACCTCCTAAAACTTCAGTTGATACATATACTGCGTATTTAGAGCTATTAACAACATTTCTTGAAGATACCTCCGTAGTAGGATTTTCATTTTTTGGTGATTATAATTTACCCGAGATCACATGGGTTCCTAAAGATGGATATATTGGAGCTTTGGATTGTAGTGCATTGTCACCACTATCTACCCAACTTTCTAACTTTATGTCGCTTCATGATGCTAGTCAGTATAATTTCATTAAAAACATTCGAGGTAATATACTAGATTTATTGATTTCCAATATTGAATGTAGTATCACTCCGCTTACGATACTCTTTTACCTAGGGACAACCATCACCCGCCGTTTAGTATTAATTTCATATTTAATACCACACCATTACCTACTATGCGTCGACAATCTATTTTAAAGTACAACTTCCACAAAGCTAATTATGAGTTTATAATTGAAGATTTGAATAAACAAGACTGGTCTTCATTGCTAAATACGAATGATGTCGAAGAGGCAGTTGAGATTTTTTATAATATAGTTTTTAATATAATCGATAAACATACCCCACAAATGTCCTCCAGATCTGCAAGATATCCGGTGTGGTTTACATCTTCCCTAATTCACATCGCAAAGAACAAACGTAAATCATGGGTTAGATGGAAAAAGTATAAAAATGCATCTGATTATGAACAGTTCTCAATTTATAGGCAACGTTTCAAATTGGAAGCTCGTAAATGTTTCTCTAGATATATAAGCTCAGTTGAAAATAGCATTCAAAATAATGTTAAACATTTTTGGTCTTTCATTTCCAATAACAAAACATCGTCTTGTGTTCCCTCGCATATGTGTTATAATGGTTTTGTAGCCAGTGAACCTGATAAGATCTGTGACTTATTCTCTGAGTTTTTCAACTCAGTATATGAGCCTTCAACTTTGTCTATAGAAAATTGGTCTGTACCCTTGACATCTGTTCCTAATAATGTTCATTTATGCGATCTATACTTTAGTGAAAGTAAAGTCATTAGAGAACTTCAATCTTTAGACCCGTCAAAAGGTTCTGGCCCAGATGGACTTCCAGCTCTCTTTTTAGTTAAAACTGCTGATAGTATTTGTAAGCCTCTGTGTATTATTTATAACCAATGTATTGCAGCTGGGATCTTTCCTGAGATCTGGAAAAGGGCATATATAGTGCCTGTACATAAAAACGGCTCAAGGCATGAGGTGGATAATTACAGACCAATCTCTATTCTGTCTGCCTTGTCGAAGCTTTTCGAAAGACTGGTTCATAACGAAGTTTATCCAGTTATACATGATAGCATTTTGAAAGAACAACATGGCTTCGTAAAGGGAAGATCCACTATCACTAATCTCATGATCTATGTATCCTTTCTTTTTGATAATATGGACAATAATGCTCAAACGGATGCTATATATACCGACTTTCGAAAAGCCTTCGACAAGGTAGACCATGAACTGCTTTTAAAGAAAATTGCCTATAATGGCATACGGGGTAATCTGTTACGCTGGTTTTCGTCATACATTATGAACAGAAGCCAAAAAGTAGTTATCAATGGGTTTCAATCTCAGAGTATTCATGTGACTTCAGGCGTGCCACAAGGATCCATCCTAGGTCCACTTTTATTTATCATTTTCATTAATGATATAGGACAGTGTTTTCACAATTGTAACTTTTTGTTGTATGTAGACGACTTAAAAATTTATAAATCTATAACATCTATCTATGATTGCTCTCTAATACAACAGGATTTGAACAGACTTTCTGAATACTGCAATGAAAATAAACTTCATTTAAGCCTGTCCAAATGTAGTTATATAATTTTTTCAAAAAAACATCATATTATACATTATAACTATTCTCTTTGTAATGTCTTATTAAACAAAGTCACATCTTTGCGTGATTTAGGTATCATATTGGATAATAAGTTGCATTTGGATCTCCATATTGACAAAATTGTTAAAAAAGCCTTTCAAATGTATGGTTTTGTGATGAGGTCATGTAAGAACTTTAAGAAACCCTGTACATATCTTTATCTTTATAAGGCCTTGGTACGCTCCCAACTTGAGTTTGCCGTACCAATATGGAACCCTCTGTACAATAAGTATGTAGACTTAATTGAAAATGTTCAGCGTAAATATCTGCGATCCATGCACTACAGATGTTATGGCACATTTATGTCATATGATCAGTTGTTGAATAGGTATAAACTGCATTCTCTTCAGTTTAGGCGTAAACTCCTTGTATGTATGATACTTCATGGTATCATTAATAATAAATTTGATTGTACTGACTTGACCAACAGATTATGTTATATTGTCCCAAGAACGGTTCATAGGCGGGAGGTGCGCGTTCGTAAACTGTTCGCAACTGCCAAATGTCGTACCAAAGCGGGTATCCGCTCACCTCTGCGTCAAATGATCGATATCTATAATGATAACTTTGTTGACTCTGACATATTCCATCTTTCTGAGTTACAATTCAAGCGTTACATCTGTAATACACTTTTTTAGTGAGTTTTTTTAACCATTTTTTTAACTCTTTTTTACGTTATGTCGCTATTTAGATTTAGATGGATACTTTTTTATTACACATCACTTATACCATAGATAATGTATGGAATAAAATGTTGTGCGTTGTGCAGTTGCGCAGTTCTTAACAACAATCTCTCCTAGGTCATCTTTATAAATATGTTAATTGTAATTATGTTCTGTTAATGATTAATTTTGTATTACGTGCAGTCGCTGACAATGGCATGTGTACACTTTAATTAAGTACAAACTTTATTATTACTTTAATAATGGTAAACGCAGGTGCTTACATCTTATTGTTGGTGACTGTACCTAACTACTTCCTCAATATCAGCTGTTGTTGCTTAGCATCTGATCGCGTCCGATAATTTATATATAAGTTCACATTTGTTAATATGTGGATAGTGTATTTGACTACATATTTATTCTTATTTTTGCATTAGCTAACATTATTTTGTGTAAAATTATACTATGTAGGTTTGCTATTCCTAATAAAGAGAAAAAAAAAAAAAAAAAAAAAAAAAAAAAGAGCACACAGTCCACCTGGTGGTGAGTAGTCACTGTGGCCCATAAACATCTACATCTATTCTCGATTACGAACCAAAATGCTGTCTCCCGTAAGGACAAAGATGCAATGCCTCGTTTCCAGTAAAACGAGTCTTCGGTTCACATAATGATTTCTTAAATTTACGCGAACACTACACATTGAATAAAACTATATTTACGGATTATATCGCGTTTAATCAACTATTTTAACTTAGTTTTTAATTCCCGACGTATTCATCATCGTCATCATCATCATTACAGCCCTTCACAAGTCCACTGCTGAACGTAGGCCTCCCCCAAGCAATGCCACAAAGCACGGTCCTGAGCCACCTGCATCCATCGACTTCCTGCATGTCTTACCAGGTCGTCACTCCATCTAGTGGAGGGTCGCCCTACACTACGCGTACCGGTACGAGGCTGTCACTCGAGAACCTTTCTTCCCCATCGGTTATCCGTTCTTTGAGCTATATGGCCGGCCCATTGCCACTTCAGCTTACTAATCCGTTGAGCTATGTCGGTCACTCTGGTTTTACTGCGAATATCCTCATTTCTGAGCCTATCACGCAGAGAAACTCCGAGCATAGAACTCTCTATAGTTCGCTGAACGACCTTGAGCGTCATATGGCCAGCAGTGAAGGACCACGTCTCAGATCCGTAAGTTATCACTGGCAACACGCACTGGTTGTACATTTTAGTTTTCAGAGATTGAGGTATACCTGACGAGAAGATGTGTCGTAATTTTCCGAAGGCTGCCCAGCCGAATTGAATCCGTCGATTGACCTCTCGGTCGAAGTTGGACTTACCTAGTCGGACTATTTGTTCCAGGTAAACGTACTCGTCAACAACTTCGAGCATAGTGCTCCCAACAACTACCGGCATAGGTGTGACATGCATATTAAACATGATCTTTGTTTTGTCCATGTTCAACTTAAGACCTATCCGTTGGGAGACACTATTGAGGTCATTGAGCATAGTGCTAAGGTCCTCCAGCGATTCTGCCATAAGGACTACATCGTCGGCAAATCGAAGGTGAGTGATGTACTCGCCGTTGATGTTAATACTATATCCTTTCCAGTCCAGTAGCTTGAAAACGTCTTCCAACGCAGCGGTGAAGAGTTTCGGGGATATAACGTCACCCTGTCTTACACCTCTCTGCAGTTGGATAGGTTTCGAACTCTGGTTCTCGGATAGCCATCGTAGCCCTACTGTACAAACACTTCAGCACTTCGATATACGGACAGTC